CGCGCCCGGCGCCCAGCACCTGCCTCCAGGAAGACAACCCGCCGTGGGCCCGCGCTCCTCTGCCGCAGAGCCGCCGGATTGGCTCCGGCCCGGAGGCGTGGCCGGAAAATGTCCCGCCCACAACAGCGCCAGGAAGCAGGGGCGGGTCTAGAGTCCGCACGGTCCATTCAGGCCGCCACTCCAGAAGCCCAGGGTGCTGATTGGCTAAACTGGACCGTTTTTAATCTCGCCCCTTTCTACACGCCCATAGCTACTATTTGCATAATTTAAAGAGACAGGCGCTGCTCCTGCCGCTTGAAACTGCCGGGAAGCTACAAAGGAGTAAACACCGTTTATGAGAGTGCCCTGCGTGGGAGGCGCCGAGCGAGGCTCACTGGATTCCCCTACGAGGCTATGCGAGGGACAAAAATTTTCTGAGGCAGTCTCAAAATAAATACAAATAAAATACATACAAGTACAAATCTGCCAAAATGTAATAATTACTGTGTATAACTAATGCGAAAGATAGATGAAAGATAGTTGCGAATAAGAAAAAGAAGAAAAGAGGAAAAACCCAATTACATCTAAACTGAGCATGGTGATGCAGGCTATTAATTCCAGCGCTCAAGAGGCTGAAGCAGGAGGATCACACATTTGAGGCAGTTCAAGGCGTCCGTACAACATAGCGAGACAGTGTTTTAAAAAAACTTTTTTATTTTTACATCTGTCTTGAACACCTATACTTTTTCCTCTTCATGATTCCCTAAACAGCACAAAATAAAACTCTACAGGGCTGGGGATGTGGCTCGGTGGTACAGCTCTTGCCTGGCACGTACGAGGTCTTGGGTTCGATCCCTAGCACCACACACACATACACAAAAACTATTTACAAAGTATTTAACTGTACACAGTAGAGATTATACGCCTGAATGAATCTGATCTCCAGCCTGGGTCTGGCTCGTCTACAGACACGCTAAGTGTCTTGAACCTTGGAGGGGCGCTGCAGGTCCAGGTTTCAGCTTTCCCGTCCATATAATGGGTATGTCTTTCAGTCGGCTTCCGGGCTGCTTCGGTGCCCCGATTGGGACAACCGAGCTGGCCTAGAAAGGACCGTCTGATTGGCTATTCCGTGTGACGCACAGCCAACTAAGGAGCTGTATAACCCCGCCCCTTCCTGCCACGCCTCCGCTTACGCAAGTCAGGCCCCAGAGTACGAGATCGCCACGCACCCTCGCCCGCACGGTGCGTGATGGCGTCAGGACGTGCGGGCGCCATCCCGGAAGCGCGAGCGAGGCTGCCAGATGTGCAGGTGCCGCCGCCACCGAAGCCGGGGCTGAGTGTAGGGTGGGGCTGGGGACTGGGCTGCGGGGGAGCCGGGCCGGGTCGGGCGCGGCCCCGGGGCTGCCCTGGGGTGGGGCGCGCCGCTGGCCACATCTGGGCACTCCTGCTGCGCACAGGCCTCAGTTTCCCCGGCTGCGCAGTGGATGCACGGGCCGTGCCGCGGGCCGCATCTGCGTCTGGATCCGGGTCCGGGGCGCCGATGTTGGGTTCACCTGTGTTCAGATTGTGCCGTGTCACTTGGAGCCGCGCGGTTCACTGCTTTTGCCTCAGTTTACCCACTCGGTGGGAGCGGGGCGTGTATATTCAGGCCCCTCCTTACTCGGGGTTTGGAGTTAAATTAACCGTGGCGTCTCGGCGGCGGAGCTTTGACCTTGGGCAGCTGAGCCCGCTCCCGTCAGCCTCAGTTTGTCTCGGAGGTGATAGTGTCTGCCCCGCAGTCGTGATTGAGAATGAAATGAAGTGTTTAATCAAATGAAGATAGAATACAAGTGTTTGCTCATATTCTTGGATCCAGCCGTGAGGCTTTTGTTTAAAATGCAGATGCCTCCGCGGTCCTGGGACTGTGTCTTTTGTTTTGTTGTCTTTTTGAGACAGGATCTCTCTATTCACTTCAGGCTGGCTTTGAACTCACTTTGTAGCCTAGGCTGGCCTCGAACTTACAGTAATCCTCCTGCCTCAGCCTCCTGAGTGGTAGGATTTCAAGCGTGGGCCACCATGCCCAGCGGTCCTGGGACTTTACATACCTATTGGAGAAACGGCTTAGTTGGAGCGCCGCTTTTTACAATTTTTATTTTCAAGGAGCAGGATCTCTGTAGAGATCCTTTTACGTGTGCCGGTGATGGCCAGAGCTTTGCTTTTTATCACATTTGGTTTCAGTCCTTTTGATTCTTTTTGCGCTTTTTTGTTGTTTTGTCTTGTTTTGTTCACACTGGGTGTCACTGGATAGCCCAGGTGGGACTCTAACTCGAGATCCTTCTGTCTCAGCCTCCTGGGTGCTGGGATTACAGGTGTGTGCCACCATGTCTGGTGAGAGCTCATTACCATTTCCTAAAATGAGAAGATAGGGGCATAAAGGCACTTTCCCAAGGTCACAAAAACTTCCTGTCTGTCGGTTTCTCCCATGAATGAATTCAGAGCATGGACCTGAGCCCCAGCTGGATCAGTGACACTGGGGAGGGGGGTGTTGGCCCAGCGGTTCGTCTGGGAAAGAGGTCGCCATAAACCCCACAGCCATCACATCTGGGAGCCAGAGACCGGAAGGAGCCCTTCTTTGAAGCAGAATTGAGTCTCAGAGATTCAAATTCTACAACTGTCAGACCCTAGCTGTGGGCCTCTCTCCTCAGTTTACTCTTTTCTTTCCTCCTTCTCCTTTTTTTTTTTTTTTTTTTTTGTAGTGTTGGAGATGAATCCCAGGGCCTTCAGATTTCTAGTCACATGCTCTACCTACCGCTCAGCCCTGGCTCCCTTTAAAATTTTGAGATAGGGTCTCATCAAGTGGCCCAGGTGGTCTTCAAAGTTTTAAGCCCTTTGTCTCAACCTCCTGAGTAGCTGGGGTTGCAGGTTTGGGCCACAGCGGCCGAGTGCAAGTCTCCTCCATACGTACAGCCATACTTCTTGGAAAGTGAATTGGGGTGATCATGCCTGGCACGTAGTAGGCACTCAATAAAACTTGGTTAGAGCTGGGGAGAGAGGGCTGCCCTTTCTGGCAGTCACTTCTATTTTACTTACTTACTTTTTTACTTATTTATTTATTTTGAGACAGGGTCTCGCTCTGCAGTTAGGTGGCCATGAGCTCACTTGGTAGCCAGGCTGACCTGGAACTCACAATGATCCTCCTGCCTCAGCTTCCCGAGTGCTGGGATGACAGGCATGCGCCACAACATCTGGCATAGCTCACTTCTAGAAGACACAACACTGCAAACTGCTAGACAGATTCAGGGCACAAATAGATATTCTTTCTTTTTTTCTGGTGGTTTTTTTTTTTTTTTTTTTTTTTTTTTT